AGCTGTACAGATAATCATGATACAACCAGGGGATACTACCGAAGATTTAGGATGCAGAACAGGACCCCAGTTAGGTGGCCACTGAGAAACGGTCACCATCTTGACCTGCCTCTGGCAATAACCTGTCATTTTTCTGAGGATGTTTCCGTACTCTCTTTGCCCATCTAGTGGCACAGTCTAAGGTAGTGGATAGGGTGCCAAATAAAGACCCAGGAGGGTCAGTTTCCACTCTGGATTTGAAGGGTAATGTGATTTGGAGAGCAATTGGATGCATACATAGTTCCCACTGGGAACACCTTAAACCAAATGTGCATTTTCCCGAGATCATGTGACAGTTGTGGAGTGCAGCTGATTAATTCCAGGAACAGGAGTGGTTCAATCTCTACGCAAATTACAATAATGGCACTTGGTTTCAAACATCACAGAAGACAATGTTATCCCTCAAGCTGCCTGGTTTTTACCCCTTGACTGTGAAGAACAAAAGAAAAAAATCCCTGGGAGACACATAATATAATTATTCAATCAAAGCTCAAATCTTTTTTCTCCAGAGCAAGACCCTTCCTGTAATTTCAAACTCTCGCCTTTCTTCCTTCTCCTTTCTTATGTAAACTTTTCATTACGAACGAGACATCTGTGTAATATAATCATTTTGGTTATAATGCAACAGTGGAGAACACAACGCCTGCATTAGAAAAAGGCAGCAGGGCCGACTAATGGGGTTTTAATACAATTTGGGTATTGCAGGAACTAGCACAACCTGATCATTTACTATCTGATCAATGCAAATTAGTGTCTTAACGAGAGATAAACCATTTGACAATCAATGTGATTCTAGGCCCCAGAAAGATTTCTTTCTTTTCTTGAAGTGTGTTTTGGAATATTAAAATTTATGCAATACTGGGATCAGCAAAAAGAGGGCATCAGGTAAGTATCACAAAGACAATGTCTGGTAGAATATGTCAGATTGCAGATCAATTCTAGATAGCTGGGCCATCTGGCCTCTTTCTCTACCTCTTCAAAAGTCCAAATTAACCACTAAGACTGACTGTTCAAGCTATCTCACATGGGTTTGAGAAAGGCCAAATGGAGAACTCAGGGGAAAGGAGCATTACTGCAAAGTTCAACCATAATGACGCCTATATATTATTTCTGGCCATCACCCAAGCACCACACTTCAAGTACTAATCCCATTTTAGGAGCTGCACACGCAGAACCCCCAGGACATAGATCCCTGAAAGGTCCCAAATGCTCAGGTGTGACTTATTAGCACCAAAGTACACTTCTGCTGCCACTGAATCAATACAAAGCTCTTTGTGCAATTATGAGAAACACAGGAATTCCAGGTATAGTATTAACTTTATTATAGTCAATTAGACCAGTACAAAATTCCAGGTATACTTTGGAGTGTTCCTTGACTACTAAGTCAATCCTTCATTAACGTCCTTCAGAAGAAAATATGAATTGGCCAATTTCAACCCTAGCAAGAAATACTCCCCAATTGTGAAGCTCCCTTGCTTTCATTAGGTTTAGCTTCTCAAGACTGATCCTGCACATTTCTTTACGTATATGTTAGATGTATGTCCTGCCTTTCCTCCAGGAGTTCAAGATGGCCTAAATAACACTCTCTCCTCCAAATTTTCCTGACAACAATCTTGTAGAGGAGACTGGGCTAAGAGTGTGTGATTGGCCCAAAGGACCCAGTATGCAGCTGTGGGTGGATCTGAACCTGAGTCTCCCTGGGCCTTGACCAACATCTTCACCCCCATCTCACCCAGGCCAATTAGCACCAAGCTCTTGGAACTGATTACCACTGAACACTACTGATGATGAAAGACCCACTAGAATTCTAGCAATGCAAATTTAGACTCTTAAAGAGAAATAAGTCCTGATGTTGGTTACAGCATTTTAAACACACAAAGATTAGAGGTCTAGGATGATCTGCTCCTGTCTTAAGACCAGCTGGAATATCCTTGCTTTAAATGGCCCCTAGCTGAAAGGGGAAGGTACTGTGGCTCTATGAAGAACCTTCTCAGCAGAGACTCAGAATTTTCCTACAAAGCCTCTTCCAACGTTCTGTCCAGGAGGGGACCATTTCTTTCTGAGTGCCCATTGTTTTAAAGGATTGGAATATTATCTTGTTTAATGTTTTGTGTGGCCTTCAGGGTACGGTTTGCATATTGCTAGATCTGACATTTTAGATAGTATTTGGTTGCGTGCCATTTTATGGGCCTCTTTGCAGATCTTTTTCACTGGATACAAGGGAGCACTACAGGATCACCTCCAAGAAGAGAACTTCCCCAAAGAATCCATTGCACAGATATACTGGAGGTGCAATGTAGTATCTCTTGCACTACCTGCACACTTGCTGGTAGAAATATACATGGCTCTGTCAAGTCCTGCACTCACACTGTAGCCTACAGGTTTCAATAGGATCATCTTACCAGTCAGCAGAATCTCTGTAAAAGTGAGCCAGATGTGTGAAACTGGCATTTATAAGCTGACACAGAAAGTTAATTTTTGAGTGGAAACTTACTAAAAATTCAAGGCATATTTGCCATTATTAAGTGGAGTTGCTTTGCAACAATGCCACAATTAGCTCTATTAATCTCACACTCACAACTTGAAATCACGCTGACACGCAACACATTGCTTTATGCATTTAACGAAATTATAAATTTAGCAGCTCAACCTTATTTAATTTCTCTCTTTACAGACAATTAAGCAAGCTCTTTATAGCACTACGGCTCAAAACCCTGCCTTCAATCCTCACGTTCAATTAAACTGAACACGAGACATCAGAAGAACGTCAATGCTTGGGGTTTTTTTTTTTTAATCTCAGTCTGATTTAAATAGCAAACTACATTCCAAAATGCACTTCAAAGAAAATCTGTTTAATTTAAATGCGTATGAGCACAGAAACACAAAGTGTCAACTTTAAAAATACCCACTCTTTCTGTAGCAAGGAAAAAGGGAGATGGCCTTTACTTTAACTCTAATAACAGAAGCCCCTTCCCCATGGACATTTTTAGTGGATCTTAGAAAATCATCTGTCACAGTTAGTCTTAAATTAGCAACATAATAATAGTTTTAAATACAGCATTTCATAGTATTAATTACTATTTTAATGTAGGCTTTCACGGCCGGCATACGATGGCTGGTGTGGGTCTTCCGGGCTGTGTGGCCGTGGTCTTGAAGTCTTGTTTCCTAACGTTTCGCCAGCACCTGTGACCGG